AATATAATGTATTACAAATCTTTTACACTTATGTAAGTATTCATTGATGAGTTATCAGATTGATTTATTTGCAAATTAAGCATATTTTTATTTAAAAGTTATAATCATAATGGACAAAGTTATGCCTTCCATTTAATATTTGATTAATTTTACTATCAGAATCTTACTGAATTTTTGTATGAACAGTTTAATAATATACATTGATAGTACAGTAGCTCAATGATAAAATATGATAAACATTACAACAGAACTATAGTACATTTTAAGATTAAATTCAATGACCATTTTTATCATCATCATCTTTAATATTACATTCTTGCGTTTCTTCAGTATGAGGCCAAGTTGAGACTCTACCTGGTAACATGACTCCATCTAGTTTCAAATCAACACAATCTTCCATTGTCATCTCTGAGAATGGTATCATGTTGTTTATGTCATTAATAATTTTATGTATCTCTTTGATTTCCTCATTCTTCTTTTGAATGAAATCTTCTATATCCTTAGCCTGTAATATATTTAACAATATTTGTAAAATATAATTTTAAAATATAAAATATTTATAAAATTTAATTTTATAAAGAAAAATAAAAATAAATATGTTATTACAGCTTGTTGTTTTTCCTTCTCAATCTCTGCTGTATAATTATCTGGTGGATATGGTATTGATAGTGATTCGTATTCCTTTTGAAACTTATCCACTAAACCCGGAGTCGTAACAACTCTCTTATAATATACCCAATCAATTTTTGGTAGAGCTTCTGGATTTGCCATCATACTATAAAATATAAATATTTTTAATGCAAATGAAATAGTTCATTGACGTAAAGTGATTATTTTAAATAACATATCTTTTTCTTTATTATTCTTAGATTATTTTTTTAACAAGTTATTATCTTAACCTTTGAGGAATGACACTTAACACTAACAATTTTTTAACATATAAATTATTTTCATATACTTTCATAAATGATATTAATAATAATAATTATATATTGTGTATATTAATAGGTTTAACAATTTTTATAACCTTAAATGATGACAGTAAATGATCACATGTTGATATCAATTATAAATTATGAAATTTAGTACTATTAAAATAACCTCTGACAGAAATTGCACAGCAATCACTACAGTACTAAGACATCATCCCTTGAGGGTTAATATGCTTATCGCTATTTTGAAATTAGTACGAACAAGGTTATGTATGACATTTTACTCACATAAAATTTAACTACAATTAAGTAAAAGAAAACTATTTTTGCAAAAGTCCGTAAAAGAGGAACAATGTATTTTTTGTAAATCATTCGATTATTATTTTAACATACAGATTTAATACATACATATGAAAAATATTATATAACGGGATAAATGATCAAATAATGGGTTAATTTTACGGATTTTACTAACCGTTGTAAATATTTATCAGAATTAGATTTAAAAGCATTGTAAGCAGCTTTTTCAGCTTCCGGAACTCGCTCAGCAAGAGCAGCCCAATTTATCGCTTTAATTGCTTGTCGTGACATTTTTTTATGATGATTTCTTCGATTCGAACGTAATGCACTCTTCGCACTTGCGAATCCCGAACAAATAGTATAGAATATATTCTTTTAGCGGTATCGATCAATCGAATTTCTACATATCAAAACGAGATATCGATTGCAGACTAATCGATATAAATTTTCGATTCAGAAGCATTACCCTAGTCGATATTTATCCATTGTAAATTCAAGTATTAGATAATTGCGAGATATCGTGATAAGTAATTACGAACAATTAGGATTTTTTTTAATATATGAAAATAATAAGCTGTACAGAGAGATGTATACCACAAATACACAAGGGAAGCATCACTTCGAAAAAGTTGTTTGTTTATTGAACCAAAAACGAGTAAATTGAATTATTTATAAAATATCTACAATATACATATATATGTAGTTCCTATTATATTAGTATGAATCTTGAAATACCAATTGCTTATCGTACGCGCAACAACATACAAGTTGCCTTCAAATTGTTCATGGTCAATCGTAACCTTTACAATTGCAATTACGAAATAGAACAAATACAAAATTAATGAGAAAGAAACTTGTATTACACACTGTAAAATGAAAGAGAAAAAAGCGGTTAATTAATAATAGCATACTCGTCGTATAAATGACGAACAATTACATACAGACGAGACGTGAGTTTATTCGCATTGTCTGTATGCGTGCTGTGTATAAATTCGTACCCATCCAATGCAGGAGTATATGCGATCGTGCACGTATATTCATATACGTGCGTTCTCCTCGGCATACATCGACGCACCTAAGTTGTATAGTGATGAAGCGCGAACGACAGGATCGATAAAAGAGGAAGATCGTGGTCACGGGGTACACAGGCTACGAAGAAGGAAAGTAGAATAACGAAGTAATAGAGAGAGAGTGAAATAGAGATTTGGCGAGTGTGAGTGGATGGGAGACTGCCGGGGTTGTGACTAGGGTACGCGGAGAGGGCGGAGTGGGCGGCAATGATCAGGCGGTGGGCATAAAGAGGATAGGATAATATCGGTGCGCGACCTCCGCGGTAGCTTCAAGTTCGCCGCTTTAATACCGGCAGATCTACGATGTAGTTATGCCGAAGAAAAGTACTAGGCATGTGAGAGAGCCGGAGTTAACGAGAAGTTCTTATCATAAAAGCAATAATCTCGAAGCAACAGCAGAACCGAAAACGAAACACTTTCTGAGCGTTCGGATTGGTCTTACCAACGGTAAACGTTGGCTTTCTCTTAAAAAACGCTTAGGTCTGTCAACGGATGAAGATGTTGCAGTCTATTTGCTGGATCTTGCCGAATCTGTCTCCAGGTAGGATTCCAATACATGCTTGTGTCGGATTAAATAGCACTTCTTTCTCAGTTTCAATTGTAATCTATTTAGACCAACGTTGTCGAATATTCTGTTTGTGCCATCGAAGACTATATTAATCAATACTTAAACGTACATGTCACTCAAAAGCGGGACTTCCCCTCTATCGTGTCCAAATTTTCCCTCAAATCGCCATCTTGTAGGGTTGATGTCACAGGGGTGGAAACAATCGATAATTTTTTTATTCGTCAAAAGTATAGTTGTCAATTTTATCGATTTCACTGATTTTCATTGATTTTGATTTTGAGAACACGGATCGATACGGAAGAAATGTCTATTTTATTTAACTCCGAATACGAAATATATTCAGGTAAATCAATTTCCATGTAATATTTATAAAAGTATTAAGAATCATTGTTCCCCCTTTTTTTTTATATTTTTAAAGACTGATGATTTATACTGTGATTTTGATTTAACCTCTTTGTATCTATACTGTATACAGTGCATTCAACAATGTGTTTTTGTTTAATAGACACAACATTAAGTGCAATGGAGAAGAGGAAAAGGAAACGGGTCAAGAGAAAAAGAGCAAAACAGAACCGATGCAAACTGAAGATTTGATAGAGGATACAAGGGAATTTGTTCGTCGAAGCTTAAGAAAACAAAACAGTAGCACAGTTGCAGAATCTGAAACACTTGCTGCTGAGGTAACACAAACCAAGTTATCTAATGATGCTGATGTACATGTTCGACGTACTTCAAGATCTAAACATCATAAAAATAAAGCTAAGCATCATAAAGATAAACGGAAAAGGAAAAGGCGTTTTAAAACTGAAAATATTGTTTCACTACTAGAATCTGTTAAACGATCTTCTAGTGATATTACATCAGGAGATGAGGAACAAACTTCCTTTAAAAAAGACAACTCTAAATCAGCCAGTGAAGTAGAGTTGAAGTCGAATTTAAAAAACAGTCTTCGTATTAGTACGAAGACAGTTGAATCTGTTAAGTCAAAGACTGAACATGTAGATAGCATAGAATTTATAGAAAATGTAAATATTAATAAAAATGTACTTTATCATGACATTGAAGATGTTGATATGGAAAGAATTATGATGGTTAGTGACAAAAATGAGCAGTCAAGATCTAATTGTTTAACAATATTATCAGATGCTAAGAGTATCAGTGAAAGTATGGTAGAACAAATCTCGAATGCAACAGATTTAACATCTACCATGACTTCTCACCTAGTGCAACCTAGTGAGACAAATGATGATAAGAACAGTCCAAATAATATACAATATATTGATACAAATTCTAACTGTTCAAATATCAATGTAAATATAAATCAAGAAATAGAAGATCGAAAATTAAAAAAGAAACGAAAACGGTTGAAATATGATGCTGAGGAGAATGATGATGAAAATGCAAAAGAAGATTCATCTGAAGACATTGTAGATGATTTCATACATAAACATAGAAGAAAAAGGCACAAACATACTAATGAGCATAAAAATCGTAAACATCATGATGTACGGAAAGCACCGCAGGATGGAATAATTGTGCAAGAAGATAAAAATACTTGTTCTACAATAAATGATACAACTTCAATTACAATTGAAAAGCTTCAAAATGAAACAAACGTTGAGAACCTAATATCTGAGCCTCAGAGATTAGCTATTAAAATAAAGCTTTGCCAGGAATGTAATAATCGTCACTTGCAGGATGCATGTCCACTAATAACACCTCTGTATGCTATCTCAGATTCTATATCATATGAAAGTTGGTTAAATAAATACAAAGAAAATACAGAAGTTTTAAAGGCCACAAAATCAGATGATCCTATGTCTGAAGGATATGGGAAAATAACAGAAGATAATGAGTCAGATGATGAATGCTTACTAACTGAACAATGTAAAACAAAAATGAAAACTCAGAAGGAGGAAAAACAATTAACTGTAGACATAGATCGACCATTGTATGCTAGGGACTCTTTGCCTGAATGTTTTGAGTTGAAAATCACCAATTCAGAACATGGACTTGGAATATATGCAAAAAGTTCTGTTCCAATGCATGTTAAATTGGGTCCTCTTATTGGACAACCAGTTAGGGAAATGGATATTCCTGATGATTTTGCCATGAGACACATTTGGGAGGTAAAATCAATGCAATATTTTTTGTTTTTGTATGTATAAACTACATTTATGTTAATTAATTAATGAATTACCTGTCAAGCGTTTGAATAATAAAACAATTTTCTTTCTCTTTCCTCTTTTTTTTTAGATAGATAATGATGGTAAAACTTCTTATATAAGCACCACTAATCCACTAAAAAGTAATTGGATCCGTTATATTAGACCTGCTGAAACAAAAGAGGAAAGAAGTGTAGCTGTAATAACAAAACAGGGAGAACTGCATCTTGTTACTACACAGAATATTGTGTCAGGAATGGAACTGACTTATTGGGCAGACTCTCAATCTTCTGCATGGACACGAAAGAATAAAGTAGACAAGACAAGTATAGTATCATGTTTTCAAAATATAAATTAATTAAAAGTCAATATTATATTATTTCTTTAAGTTCATGTTTTGACTTTATATTTCTAGATTGTGGAGGGTGTAATTTGAATTTTGCCCATTCAATATATTATCGGTTACATTGCTGTATCTTTCATGATACTAACTATAGTTTAACTATAAGGAAATATCATTGTAAGGTAGACAACATTAAATTATATTTTATATCAACATTTTTTACATGCTTTATTTTTGAACGGGTGAATATATGTATCTATTTCATATTTTTAGGTATGTGGAGCTGCTGTCTTAGGTAAGGATAATATTATGAAACATGCAGCGGAATTACATGGAGGTCGAGGTGCATATCAGTGTCAATATTGCAAAAAATTCTTTTTACGTTTGAATTATCTTGAGATGCATCGTACGTATGGATGCGCACAAAATCCACAACGTTCAAGACCATTGTGTGATTTTTGTGGCCGTAAATTTTGTCAGCCACAAAAATTAAAAGTGCACATCAAACGAATGCATAGTGGTAAGTATTTATGTAATAGTTAAGTCTGTTAATAGAATTTGTTTCTAATTTAAATTAATGTTTAGATATGTCTGAGGTGCTCAGAGAGTTTCAGTGTAAATTATGCTTGAAACTTTTGGGATCTCGTGCTGCTCTTCAACGTCATATGAAAGAAGTTCACCATAAAGATGTAGTTGGTGCCGCAACTTGCGATCGATGTGGAAAAATGTTCCAAAATAAGAGTAATCTCAAAATACATATGTTGACACATAGTGGAGTAAAACCGTTCAAGTAGGATTGCATATTTCTGTAGATAATTAATTTTACATTTTTAAAGTAAATGTAATAGTAAATGTCCGTTAAATTACAGATGCAAAGAAAATAGTTGTAAAGCAGCTTTTACGACTAAACAGTGTTTACAATTTCATTACAAAAAAGTACATGGTCTTACAGAAGAAATGATGCCAAAAATCGAAAGATCTGTTGCTTATACTTTCGACGCATATAGCGGCGGACTTGTTGAAGATGTTGGCCGTGGAAAAACACCTCGACCTAGTAGAAAAACCTCTCAGGTTTGTTCTTCATCAATATTGTTTATATACGTTCACAGGATGAAACAGTTTAAATTCAATATTTTATTTATAATTTAAAATTTCAGAATGAAAATGATAATAAAATATCCGTGAATAGCCCCAAAAATGAGTTGAAGATTGAAACGCCAAGTATTTCTACACATTCAAGCATAATCGAGTTCGGTACAAGTCCTACATCCAAGTATAAAATTGAGCATAATTCCCGAATTACATCATCGTCGCTTCCGATGAGTGCGTCAATGCCAAGTGGTCTTGAATCGACAGTAGAAAGCGTTCGCACAGAAACAGATTTATATAGTACTTCCAGATTACAAAGTAAAGGAAGCAAAAAATGGCTTGGTGAATTCAATTCTCCAATTTCTTCAGATGTAACAGTAGTATCTAATACTATTTCTCATTTATCAACAAATGTCGTTACCGGAAATACTTACGAGTTTGAGGATACTCGAAAAGAAATTGACGAGAAAATATCAACAAACAATAATAGAACGCAAGACATTATGGAAAATACCAAACTAGGACTTAGTGTCTATAGAAGAACTGAAAGCGCGAATGCTAGCTTATTAGTTGAAGCTGCTCTTGATGCTGCTGAACGGGATATAGGGGCAGTAACTAGTCCAATATTGGATGATAACGATCGTGACACAAATCTTTACTCAATATCCAGTCAGTTGCAATCTCCATTACCTCAGAGATCACCGAACCATTTAGATTCCTATATACAACAACAAGAGGAACTGATATCTCCCGCACCTACGCCAGATAGCCGAAATACACCACCCACGCATTTGCATGTCGATTATCAACTGCATCGACCCGTTGATTACATCGGTACATCAAGAACGCATAACATCGAACAATATTTACACCATGAAGAAATACCACGTGTTGCTTCGCCTAACGGTTACATACATATTCAACAAGAAGATTTAGTATCACCTTCAGGAACACCAAATCCTAGATATCAAGATGTACACCATCATCATCATCACCATCATCACCATCATCATCATCAGGTATCTCAGGATAATTTGTCTAGTGATGAAGGCGATTCAGTTGCACAAAATCTCAGTCTTTCCGTGAAAGAGAAGACAATGCAGTTAGATCTTTCAACATCATACAAATATGATTCTCTCGACCAAGAGTTTGCTAGAGAAAGAACTAGTTTCGAGCCTCTTGTTCTGAATGGAGAACTTCAGGGTTTGGATATGTCTGCTAGAGGATTTCATCATAGTTTTGGTGTACAGATACAAAATGCAAGGTATCATCATCATCATTTATACGAAATTGCAGAAAGACAAAGTGTCGATCTTAGCAGGACTGGAAGCTACTCGATATCACCTACTCCACTTTCAGTACCTTCTCAAGTATCATCTGGTTCTTCAGTGACTGTAATTCCTCCACCGCCACCGCTTCCACCGCCACCACCACCACCTCCGCCTCCTCCTCCACCGCCGCCACCACTTCCTTCAGCTCCTCCTCCTCCACCACCACCTCCGCCACCGCCACCACCTGCACCACCTCCTCCACCTTATCCTCACAGTAATGTTTTAAGGGTTGTAAGTTTAGATCTTACTCCTGGTGGACGACACACGGTAGATCTCACTCTTTCAAGACCACATCATTTGCATGGATCCGGTGCTCGTGTAATAACAAGTTCTCAACCTGCAGGTTCCGGCAATCCACATATCGTACCTGACGCGGTCAATGGACGAATTTTATCTTCTCCTCCTCCACCGCCTTCTTTGTCAGGATATAATCCAAGTTATCCTGTAAGCCCTACTCCGTATCATCCACCAAGACCAGGATACCATCATTATTCCAGTTATTATTAACTAACATAGATAATTTCAGTACCTTTATCCTTATATTTTAAAATACCCACCGAGTAACTTTTCTAATATAATTTTTGCTATAAAAATAATCGTAAATAATCAAAGAATATGACTATGGTCTATATCACTGATGGTGTGAATGTTCATACATATTGGGTTGAACGGAGAATTTGCTGCGTTTTTGAATCGCTGATGAAAAACGGATTGCTTTCCATTATAAAGTAAAGAAAAGAAATTACTGAGAAAATTCTCAATTCGACTACAAAAACAGAACGAACTTTTCGTCCGATCCAATAGTATTAAAACTGTCTTTTTCCTTCGTTTTCTCTATTTAGAAGTTCAAGACCATGAGCTAGTCGAAGCGAAATTCTTTTATACATTAACTTGTACATTAAATTAAATAACGAACAACGGAGACCAATTGCGGAATGTCGAAACTTGGTTTGGTCTTTCTTGCACACATATGATAATGCAAAGTCAACGTTAGACACAGTAAAAATTTCTAGAACTTTACCATTCGAATTAAAGTACAACTCTGAAACAGAGATGCGCACAAATATGATAAAATCAGTTATGTTAGATATCGTCTAGTTTTCGAGTGGTTTAATGCACATGGTTGGATTAGTCAACCGGTCGAACGTGTGAGTGTCACAAAAATATATAGTAAAAAAGTGACGTGTATCTATTATTTTTGGAGTGAACTTTATTTTTTTAAACTATTTATGAACAAAATTGTAGAAATTCGTTCTGCGATTAGAAGTACAATGCATGATTAGAAAAAAAGATTGTTTTCTCAATTGTGTAGTTGCCAGAATCGTACATTTATAGTACGCATGTTCTTTTATATATAATCATGTAAAACTTGAATATAGTAATCATACTTTTAGTTAACGGGTGATAAATTTTTTCGATCGTAAGTGATACTTCTCGTGAAATGTTACTTAACTTTTAATATATATGTATATTCTTCTACTTCTTGTTCGTCAACAAGAAAGTACTCGTAAGATGTAACGGTAGTTGCCATAAATTTTTGCAACAGTATTTTTCGGATAATTAGTCAACGGCGTCGTCTCTTCTACACGTCGTCCTTGTTTTCAAATTTAGATTAAGAATTCATAGTCAGGTTGTTGTAATAAGATAAAGAAACAGTAATGGAATGAACGGATGAATGAGAAGCTGCGATATTATTAATGCGCGTGGAAATTTTTACCTCTCGACAAATATTGTGAATCGTGATTTCGATCATTTACGACAAATCACAATCCGCGAAATAAATCAATCAAGTTGCCTAACGATAGTTATAAGTGTATTTATATGCGGTGATAATGAAACTTACATTTTCTTAAACGTTTCATTTTTATTCTAGTCATATTATACATTTGTATTAAAGTAATATTATTATCATATCCTGGACATTCGAAATGTCAGTACCGTGGAAATTGCAACGATTATTTCATTTGCATAAAAACGCACTTTTTTTATCTTTGAAATGTTGTTAAAATAAATATCATATAAATATTGATTAAAATTGGATTAACGATACAATCGAATTTATTTGTAAGTATGTATATCGAGATAAACACATAACACACGCGCGCGCGCGTGCGCGTGCGCGTACACACACACACGTAACAAATGCGCGCAGTTTACATCTTTTCCCAATCTTTTTTATTATTTCATTTGCTACTACCAAAGAATAAGGAATCGTGCAACCTTTGTGCCAAATCGATAAGACGTTTATCACTGTATGTACAGTTTTAACATGAACGCACCGATTATTTTGTATTAAATAGAAATACTCGTAGTATTAATGATAAATAAGTATATAAATATATAATTGTATGTATGTATGTATGTATGTATGTATATATGTATGTATGATGCATGTATGTATGTATGATGCATGTATGTATGTGTGTGTGTATGTGTGTATGTATGTATGTATGTATGTATGTATGTATATATGTATGTATGTATGTA